TTCATTCGGAAGCAAGACTCTTCACAAGAACGAGCAAGAAACTTATGTATTACTCAGAAACTGAAATCCACAATTTCAATTAACATTACGTTTTTACATCCAAACGAATACTAATGTCGGCCTTGGTGGTCTAGGAGTTTAGTACACCGCTTTATTTTCAACAGTCGTCAATTTAATTCCTCGCACAGTATAAACATTTGTATTCATAAGTACGATTGTGTATATTGATCGTTTTTTCTATGTATCTTCTGTACATATTTACAAAAATTGTTCTATGTATTTGTATCAGTTGTTACCCATAACACAAGCTCTGCTTAGCTTGGAACTAGGTAGCGCCGTGTGAATTGTCCTGAGGTATTAGTCCGATATAACCTACGCAGTCAGTATAAACTTTTTTTTTGGTAAAATTTTTATTAAATACTTTTTTTATGAAAATGATACAGCTTTTTTTATAGGTCACTTGATTTCTTTATAAGCCCTCCTGGGAGTTATATATACCTATACAATTACTACCGGTTTTAAATAAATATGTAGTTGTGTTCCCGCACCACTCACAGTTGCATTGCCTCTGGGACAAAGACGTCAAGCGAATCCGGTAATTTCATCTTTCAACTGAGACATTTTGATCTATGTCTCAGTTGAAATTATAATCAACTAATTATTAAGCAAACTGCTTGGCAGATGAAATAGATGTGATTATGCAGACGACTTACTACAGGATATAGCCAGGGCAAAACTGTTTAAGTCCTTGTTAAATATAGTTGCAAAATAGTATTATTTTGCATACTAGCGACTCGTCCCGGCTTTGCATGGATGTATTACAAATCTTTGAATTTCTCGGCTTGTTCTATACTATAACATGCATGTATTATACATATAATCCTTTCTCTTAAATTTTTCTATCTATTGCTTAAAACTGCATTAAAATCCAATGCGTAGTTTAAAAGATCTAAGCGAACTGAGAGTGGATGCGACTTCATTTTATACTATGTAAAGACTATCAAATATAGCTATTTCACAAGTTTGAAGCTTTGTTACTAAACAATAGATATCACTGTCAGTGTTACTTATCAATAGATATTAAATCAAAGAATTTAAAAATCGGAAAATAATCTTGATTATCAAGTTATTATATAACATAATTTTAGCAGTTGTATGAACATAGTGTCAGTCAATTATTGGCTGAGACATCTCTTCAAATTCTTTGTTATTTTCTTTCAAATGCTAATAGTGTTGAAATGGAAAGTTCAAAAATAAGCTACTTGAAATAAACAGTCGTCATCATCATCGCATGATGAGGATGATAATCATCGCAGCCCGGAAGACATCCACTGCTAAATGAAATAAACAGTAAATAAAGATAATATTTATTGTTTACTCAACTGTGTTTTTGTATTGAATTATATTTATTATGCTTTAATTAAAAAAAATATCCTTAAATATTTAGAACATTCATTTGTTTGTTTATTTATATTTAGTATCAAGGCTGAAAATTACCGCATAATACAGTATTATTATTACTAGATTTTTATTAACATTGATATTATATTTTTAAGAGTCATTTATTTAATAACTTTACAAGCTGTAAAAAACATCTACAAGCATCATTGTTTATATATAAGTTTACTGTTTTATGCTTTATACAGTGTAGTCATAGAATTGTAGCTTTAATTATATTTATTTGAAACAAATTTATAGAGTACATTGAAATATATTTTATCTTGTATTAGATTGTTGTACATAAACCAAATATGATTATCAACAGTGCTAGTTATGTTATCTTTGACCTGAGACATTTACTAATTGTTATAAAAATTTACATTTACATCAGTTACTATTTATTTTCTGTCAATGACCTCTCAGTATGGATACAATGATTCAATTCAGAATATTGTTAAAATATACATAGGTTACAATATATTGCAATAACAAGCATAATAGATTTGAATTTAACATTTTCCTTGATGGGACAAATTTAGAAACACATATATACTTTAGTATAATTTTATATCAGCTCCTTACTGAGTTCAATTGTGAGGTGCAGGGTATTGGCACAACTTTTACTGTTGGAATATGTTTTTTTTGTTATTCTACTTTATATTATATTAGGACTGAAGGCCATCAGTGGCGATGATAATGCAATAAAAGGCATTATAGTCGACAAAATAATTGAAGTCTAAAAAGTATTCTTCCAATGATTTTCTTAATATTTATAGTCCATAGATAAATAAGTTATTATCTGTACCTGGGATAGTGCAGTGCCGTTATTGGAGACATTCTGCTGCATCTTAGTGACTGGTAACTGGCCTCCAGTGGTCACAAAGTGAGTGCCAGCAGCACCCACTGCTGAGAATGCAGCAAAATTCATCTCAGAATCTTCGTCACTGCAGGTTAAAAACAAATACATAAATGAGGGATCCTTAATTATTAAGACTAAGTATTATAATTAGGTATTATTGAAATTGATTACAAAAATAAGTCTATCAAAACAAATTAACTAAGAGTGATTTTTAAGTTATTAGCACAGCATTTAAGCCTTTTCATCATTCCTATTTCATACAGGTCATGAGAAACTGATAGTTATGGGAGCATTTATAAATATTTTCACTTGAATTATGATCGAATTGAATCAATAAAAGAGCTGCAGGAACTATCATATGTCCTAGTTTTTTATAGATTCTCCTTGAATGGTAAACAACATAATGGCTTGTTCAATAGCTAAAATTATTTTAGTAGTCTTTTAACATTGTTATGTAGAAGGATCTTATATATTGTGTAACTATGAATAACTTTTCTAAAATAGGATTTTATCTGGGTATTCTTGTACTCAGCAGATATTAATTTTCCTCATAACATGTCTCTAACAATACTTTATACTTAGAAATAAATAACCTATTATAATTAGTCCATTCTAATAATGGATTTGAAAGTTTAAGGCTCCATTTTGCAAATAGATTTTTACATAATAGTGAAAGTTCTTCCTTACTAATAATTATAACAAGTGGTTTAGTAAAAGTGTTTAATACATAACATAGATATCAATAAAAAAATACGTAACTATTTGCAGGTGTATATCGTAATAATAACATTTGTAAAGTTGTTTAATGTCATTATAAATCAATGTTCGAAGTATAGCATACCAAGAGGCATCATCTCTAGTAGGCATTTTCTGCATGTCACACATCGCTACACCCTCCACCGCGCCGGCAGCGGGAAAAAAAACGAATAAAAAAAAACCACAGTCCCACTTGAGTCATCGAGAACCACCCGCGCTATCCCCACGTCCCACCACCGCGGCGGCAGCAGGGACTACACTGGGACACCGATGGTAGGGCACATACCACTGCCGACCACCAAACACGACACTACACTAAAATTAACGCAACGACGGCGAGAGGCGAGATGATCGCGAATGACTACTAATAAGAAAGTGGGTTAAAGAAAGTTTTTTGTGCAGGCTCCGATAGTTGACTGGCGAGTTAGTTATACACACGGGCAGACAATTGAACTGTGTATGTGTAGCTCTAACATGCTTCTCACTTTCTCTTTACTGTACTTTCACAAGACACATCGAGGTGTGGTTGTGGTTCACTAACTAAGAGCCTGATAGTTGAGCAACAAACTTGTTGTTCATGCATCATTATTTACTGGAATTTAGATGTGCATAAATTTATTTACAATTTTAAAACAAAATTAGATATATGCTCTTAATATTAATTAATAAAATAAATATTATTGTCAGCATGACAATTTATTATTTAACTACCGAGTACAAATTTATTGTAACTAGAATTTAGTATAGTATATACTGTTACCACTCTGGCCAGGCGGCTTGGTATATTGTTTTATTTGAGTTTTTCTCCTGTATAGAATAGATGTACCTATTTGTAATATTTTATTTCACATCTGGGATATTAATTATATACTCCACCCATAAAGTTAGCCAATAAAGGCTTTTACTAATAATTCTAAGGTATTAAAGACCTTGATAGCCTCCTCAATAGAAAGTTTAGTTCCTAAAGTTATGAGGTCATTAGTTAATTATGTAGGCAAGATAAGTTATTGCTTTAATTTTTTGTATTTTTAGTCAGGATTCCTGTCAATCTATAATTTTCTTTACTTCATTAAAAATTATATATCTTTCATAGCAAAACTATGAAATTGTAATATAAATATTTAATATCACACTGAAAACAAAGGGCTGCCAATAAAAATGGCCGTATTTTTAGTTACGCAATTACCTACATGTAAAGTAATTAGATATACTTTTGAAAATTTAAAGGGTGCCTCTATGTGGTTGTAGGCGGAACCAGACAGAGAGACTACAAATCGAAGGTTGTTCACCCCTACCAGTTCCTTTTGCCCCGTTGAACGTCCATCAAGAGCGACGCGACGCATCCCCACCAAGGTGCGAGATCCCCTCCATGTGCTTTCTGCACCAAATCACTCCCGCTCCCGACTCCTTCCACCACCGACAGGAAAATCGCGAGAGGAGGGGTGAAACGCGGCCCTCTCAGACTCAGATAGCACTCACACTCAGGCCGCCACGCGCCCGGATAACGGTAAATGAGAGTACCGCTTTGGTAAATAGGGTCATGGTTTTTTCACACACGTAAACAAATCGACACACGACACTTACCTTTTAATTCAAAATCTACAGGTACGTAGAATTCAACCAGGATCACTTTAAAAGCATTCCTTGAGTTCCATAATTTATTAATCACAAAAGACACACCTTCCCTTCACTTTTAGCATTTACAATAAAATGAAATCCGCCATTACTCTATTTCATTTAAGACATTTGACGATAGATGGCGTTGGAAAGCTTTAAAATGATTGGTTGAACGGATTCCAGTCCATTCATATTTTATGTCATTGTCAAAATGGCAATTTTGTTGCAATGACATTTTTATCACACAATGACAAATTTGTATCACAAGGTTATGCATTAACATGAAATGTATGTGTGTGTGTGTCTATTAAATAAATGTGTAGTCAGTTTTAATTAATCAACTTTTATTCATATTATAAATACTAGAATACACAAAAAATAGTCATGCAAGTAAAAGGTACATAATACTTAATAACTACCTAATCTATGTTATTCAAAAGGGAAACTGCTGTCCAGATCTTTGTATTCTCTCCAAATGCAATTCGAATAATAACTTATTTTCATAATAATAGTTGCTGTCAGTTGAACTAACTCCTGGATCGTAAGTTGGTCTTCTTTCACAGTCTGAGGTTGAGGTATGAGATGAAACGACACCATTTTCAGTATTAACACCATTAATTCTAATAGAATCTTGGTTTTGTGACACAGGTGTATTTGCAAGGTTGTTATTTATATGTAAATTATTAATCCTCTTCGATAATGGCATAAACTCGCAAGCATCATCTTCCCGGGAACGTTTTCTAAAATAAATAATAATAACTTGAGGTATTATATTTCATAACAATGCTTTTGGTAATAACAAAAAGAAACAATGAAGCATGGAAAATAGGTACCTATTACTACTATTCTCTGTCATATTTCTGAAGCAATGGTTCCCATTGCTACCGATGCAGGTATTCCAATATAGAGCAAAATCTTTTCCAAAAGTCATCTGTTCACAAAATACTTTTTTTTCAACCAGTATCAACAGAATAGTATAAAAAATTAGTTAAAATCGACATAAAAGTAGTCTATGATATATGTAGCTTTGTAACGTTTATATGACAATAAACAACTGACTGTACTGACTGTCAGTATTATCAGTCAGTGATTGACATTTTGACAATACTGAAACTGACCCGGTTGCGAGTATGAATATGACTTTCAAAATGTTAATAATATGTGTTATATTGAAACTTTATATTATTTCTGGAAATAATAGAACTCTCAAAAATTTAGAAGAATTAATATATGTTTTCTCTTGTTAATACGTTTTATTTTTGACAAAATATAATTTTGCAGATGGTAACTCCGATAATAGAATGGTCTGAAAGAACTAAATAAGCAACAATCACCATTATAAAAGCAGCTGTTTAACACAGCGACATCTACTGGTTACTACGTACAAAAAATAACAAAAGTATCAAACCGCGGTATTGGTCGTTTGGGAAGTTTTCAAGTATTATGTTTCCTTTTATTTACACTTAATTAGTATACGTATATGATTTAAACTTATTACAATTAGTTATTAAAAAAATGTTTTAGTTGTGGCTCCAAAAATCTATATTGTTTTTGGATTCAAAGTCTAAGTTTGAAATGAAAGTCTACGCGATTGAATGTAGGTATATCATCGGACTTTTGTAACTAGATGTCGCTGAAGTCGCAATGAAAGGGACTGAGATTTATATTAATTAGTAATCCAACTAAAATATTTAATAATAAAACGTACAGATGGCGCGACACAGAGATTCCTAATCAAATAGATAATTTTCTACTAGCGACTGCATAACTATAATCGTATAACGTACGCGGCGTATTTAGATTTACAATAAGTTTTTTTTGTAACAATTGGAATAAAACAAAATTAATATAAAGTGAATTCTTATAAAAGATTTAAATCAGTTCAGCCCTTTCGGAGAGTAACGAGCGCAGAAAAATTGACAAAATAATCGTATAACGTACGCGGCGTAAGATTTACAATAAGTTTTTTTTGTAACAATTGGAATAAAACAAAATTAATATAAAGTGAATTCTTGTAAAAGATTAAAATCAGTTCAGCCCATCGCTGACAAATTAAGTCAGGTAGTTAGCCCATCGCTGCAAATTACCAGGATTTAATCATAGTGATTTCCAGGGGAGCGCGTGGAAGTCGACGGTTACTTATAATTTCTTCCTTCGGAGGGAGGGAACCACGTGGTTCCCTCTGGAAACCATAGTCATAAATTCATAGTGAAATTTCCACTACCACACAGATGGGTGAATTTACAAAGTGGTCCCACTACATTAAAAGAAAAGCAACACTGTTTCATATTCATCCATTAAAAAAATATATTTATGCTATGATCATACGTAACTTTATATCCGCATAAAATAAATTAATGTAGTTATTTACTTATTATTGATTATTCTCGTAAGTTATTTTTTTCCTCGTATATCAAAACAAAATACCTACATGGAAAATAGTTTACGTAATTTTGTTTATTAATTTTAATTGAATATAGTCACGTTTTACCTTAATTTTGTTTGTTGATCACTGTTATAATTATAATGTTAATTATGCACATTTGTCTTTCGATTTAAATTTATCGGACATGACTTAGTTTAGCCACAGAATAGATATATTTATGATATATAAAATAAAATATAACTATATTTATTCTATGACTAGCGGTTACACGCAACTCAGTCCGCGTGGAATTATTTTTACTAAACTAAATAAAATTTCTGAAATATAAGGATCCCAATTACACCTTATGTAATGACATTAGGTATCTCCGGGTAAAAGTCATCTCAAAATCGGTCCAGCTGTGTCAGAGATTAACAAGAACAAACAACAACAAAGAACAAGCTGTTTATTTTCTTTTTGCTTGGCCCTCACTTAACTTGAAATTAACTCTCTATTTAAGTACAGTACCCAGAACATCCAGACCCATCCTTTTGTAGGAAAGTTCATTCCCCAAATCTTGGACATAGTCTCAATAGATTCGTTTCTCGAGTTTATGGTGCAGTGACTCAGATTCGTAATATACGAGTTGGGGGGAAGGCGATTGTTAGTAATGTGGACTAATAATCCCATTGCTAACAATGAACCATGTCAGTTTACGCGGAAGACCTCCTCCTAAATATATCCTCGTATCCTGATAAATTCATATAGTGAATTTACCATGATGGGCTAACTGACCTGATCTCATGCTCATCTTATCATCCTCCCCTGGTGCTCCGCCAGCGTAAATCGTTAGAGAAGGCGGGTGCACCATTCCATTATCATCCATAAGAATATACGAGAATATACGAGTTTGTGGATATCATATATCGAATGCTTTTATGTGGAAATTATTATAGATTTTCTAAAGGCAAAAAAGGCAAGAGTTTGCGTATCCATGTGACGGTTCAAATGTCGTATATGTCTACAGTTTTATACGCAATGACACAGATACGACGTGGACAAGTTACACCCAAACATGGTTTGTAACGAGATGATGATCTTTATAAGGGTAACAAGAACGACCGCGTGGAGCTCTCCTCAATTGAGGCGCGTTGGATGTTTTTCTCTAAATCTGACGTTGCAAAAATATGAGTAGATAGGTATACATATATATATAGAATAATTTTAACTAGTGGTCTATAAGTGTATGTAAACTATAAGTGTACGAAATTTCATTTGGACTGAACTGGGCTTTTCCCCGCAAGTTTGATAGTTTTTGTTTCACGTACAAATATATACATAGCCTATTACATATAAATATATCCAATCAATGGTTCTGCGTTATCCCAGATGGAGTAATTAGGGGCTGTTCATAAAGTTCATGATTTTTTGAGCCGTCCTCGTGTCATCAACTCATCACATATTTTGTAAACTCATTAACCCAACAACTTAAACCTCAAGTTTATACAAATGGAAATATTTTAAAATTTTTCGATAATACTTCAATTACGTGTTTTAATGGTTAGATACATTTCACTTTGAAATGTGACGACACGAAATTTAGAACCCCTCTCGCCCTTGTCACACTTTGTTGACCCCGTTCCTCAATGGATGGTCTCTTATAGATTTCTTTTAGGGATGAATTAGAAATGGCAGATTAGTCTGCATTAACCAGATCACCAGAGGACCAGTTGATTATAATAAAATAAGCATATAGTTAGTCATTTCAGTTTGAATTCACTGAAATAAGCATGATAGTTTTCGGAATGGGACTTAGAGTTCGACCTGACTAGTTTGAAATTTTTTTCAGTTTCTGTTCTTTAAATTATTTTAGTTTCTAATAGTTGTTTCCAATACTAGGTGTAGCGAACTCCTTAATAGGTTTTTATATTATTTTTTAATTTTATAATAATATTATTTTTGTAACATTCTATTATATATCGCTGTCGTATTAGTAGCATTTTTTTGTCTCCGTATTTTCCTCATAAAACCCTCAATACCTCTCATCAGGTACATCAGATGTCTCCGCTTCGCTAGGCGAAGTTGCGTATTCAAATTGTCTAATGAAGTTTTAAGTGTCAGACTCGATATCATGACCGTTCCCGTTTAATAGGGTAGTAAACTTCTGCGCCACGACGCTTTCAGTATCTGATTATTTATTTATATATGGTAATTTCCATAAAGTAATATCTTACTAATATTATAAACGCGAAAGTTTGTGAGTAGGGATGTATGTTTGTTATTCTCCACGCAATAACTACTGCACGTATTTTGATGAAACTTTACAGTAATGTAGCCTATACATTAGAATAACTATAGGCTATTTTCATAGCTAGTATATATATATCTACTAAAGTGTATGTAACTGCCTATTATTACGTGCCACTTTTTTCATCCCCTGAATGCCAACTTAACAAGTTAATACAACTTTCACAGGCCATGTAAGCACTTATATAAATATGTTTCTTTCAAGATTACCTTCTCTTAATCATTATTGTAAAAGATCCTTATACTTGACGAAAATAATATAGCCCTGACGTGACGGCCTCTGTGGTTTAGTGGTTTAGCACACCGCATTACATTTGGTCGCGGGTTCTATTTCTCACACGGTACGAGCACAGATAACATAATATGTACGAGTATGATTGTTTGTATCGGTCAGGGTGTTTTTATATATGAATAGAATAGAATATATCTTTATTGCTAACTGTGTGGGTACATTATTTCTGTATGTTATGTAAGTATTTAAGAAAATATATCTATGCATTTGTATCAGTTATGTAGTACCTATAACACAAGCTTGCTTGCAGCTCTGTTTAGCTTGGGATTAGATGGCGCTGTGTGAACTGAGATATTATATTAATATGACACAAAAAAATCAGCCTTTCTCGACCACATGCAGTCTGAATATCATAATACTTTAATATGCATTACAAAGATTGGAAGTGGCCCGCATGGAATGTGATTTTAATTAGGCATTTCGGAAAGTAGATGGTCTCGCGTGCACACGAATGTTATAGTCGGAGAGTTTGGTAATTCAGATGGACAAGATACGCGCGACGGATAATAAAGTCGACAGAGAGAGCCGCCGGTAAATTATCAAATTAACATCAAACCGTTAATGGCTGCGGAATTATATCGCATTTTGGCTGAGATGATGCTCAGAAATCATCGAGTTGCCTTGGAGCGCATCAGAGCGTTAATGCACGCGCTTTTCCGCTCTGCTGCGTGTCCTGTGGAATTCACCTTATATGGTAGCATATACTCTACCCAAGCCGCACCTAAACCCATTACAGTTATAGAAAAAGGGCGTGGGAACAGCTGAGTGTATATTTTAGGGCATCCATACCATCCATGCGTAACCGATCCCGTTGTTCAGCTCTGTAATAAATAGCTTTTTGGAAGCAAATAGGTCAGAGCTGACGATAAAGGCATAAAAGGTCAATAACGATAAAAAATATACGCAGGTACTACCTATTGTATGTACTTAGTACTTGGTACTATGTATTTTTATCGCTGATTTACCTTTTAAGTAAATAATAAGTGTGTAAGTGAGATATCTATGGCATAAGCTTATAATAATTATCTAGTGGGGAAGTCACATAAATCTATAACCAGTTGTTATTGTATAAATCAGATATTTATTCTA